AGAGCTATAGCCCCTGTGCTGATGCCTGGCACGTAACAACACTCAATAAAATTTGTTGAATGAATGAATAGATTTTTTAGAGCCTACATAAAAACCAAAAAACCAAACCTGTTGCCGTCGAGTTGATTCCGACTCATAGCGACCCTACAGAACAGAGTAGAACTGCCCCATAGAGTTTCCAAAGAGGGCCTGGTGGATTCGAAATGCCGACCTTTTGATTAGCAGTTGTAGCTCTTAACCATTACACCACCAGGGTTTCCTAACATATAATAGGAACTCAAAAAATATATAACAGTAATAACTAACATTTATCAAGCTCTAATTATAGGCACTGTGCTAAATCCTTTATGCACGTATGACTATTTTGTCCTCACCCCAAATCTATGAGGTAAGTATTATTATTATCCAGCCTTCCAGATGAGGAAACAGAATCTCAGCAAGAAAAAGCAGTTTGCCTAAGGTCATAGAACTAGGAAGTTTGTAAGTCCAGATTCATATCCATGTCTAATTCCAGCACAATGTTACTTGCTGACTGGATTCTGTAAAGAGAAACTGCTGTTACCTCCATTTGGATTACTAAGATTTTGTAATTCCAAAGAGCATTATTCAAGTAGCTACTACTTGTGTACTGGGCCTCAGGTTAGGTAAAGCGTACTAGGACCTAGGACAGAGAAGCTAACTCTGTGATACAGTTCCCAACCTCAGGGAGTTCAGTCTGATAAGACAAATGATATGTGCAGGTGGGCTAGAATGGCTGTGACCCAATCACTCTTCCCTGCCCCCTCAAAAAACCTTCTTGCTGCTGGAGGCTCATTCCTCTTAAACTGTTCTCTTGAACCTTGCCCAGGTATCTAATTTTGTTTCCATTACATGATATTCTGTTTAGCACTGTCTAGGCGTAACTAAAGAAGCCATCATTTACTGAGGGCTTTAATGTGGCAGGTGAGTTATACAGAGTCCCTGAATACTTTCACCCACCCTGAGGTGGGTGTCATTACTCCTACTCTACAAATGAGAATCTCACAGCTTAATGGGACAGTGGATTACAAACCAATGATGGTGATATGGTATCTGGTTAGAGTACAGTATCACAAACACTAGGATAGAGGGTTGTGTGTGCAAAGAACTATGGGGGACCCAAGAAGTGTGCGGCTCTTGGCCTCCATTGTTGTTGTTGGTTGCCCTAGAGTTGATTCTGACTCATGGTGACCCCACATGTGCGAGTAGAACTAGAACTGCTCCATAAGATTTTAGATATTTAATAAAATGCTTGTAACAAACACATGATGATCTAGATTTTTATTTTCTTATTAGCTGTCTAATTAAACAGTAAATAAACCATATATATGTCACTTTGTGGGAGTCCTGGTGGCACAAAGCTTAAAGTGCTCGGCTGCTAACCAAAAGGTGGGTGGTTTGAACCCACCAGCCACTCAGTAGGAAAAAGATGTGGCAGTCTGCTTCCGTAAAGATTTACAGCTTTAGAAACCTTATGGGGCAGTTCTACTCTATCCTACAGGGTTGCTACGAGTCAGAATCAACTAGATGGCAGTGGGTTTTGGGTATCTCAATTTGTAAAATATTAACAAAGCTTTATTTTTTTTGGAAAAAGCAAATACTTTTCCATTTTATTTTATATTTTTACCAATATTATCATACTGGAAGCTATTTTATTATAATAATTGGACAACAGACTTCTTTTTTTTTTTTTTTAAATTAGCTTTTCCTGATAGATAACTTGTCATCTTTTGGGGGGATATAAAAAGTACCTTTCTTCAGGTATTGTACAGGTTCTTTATTCAGAATTATTCTTAAATAAATCAATCCTTCCCTCTAATAGAAATACACGGATGTCATAAAATTAAAAAATATTCTGTTTTTAAAACTCCAATACTAGGGTGCTTTCATGTAGCCAGCTGAATCATGACAGCATGCTGAGAATGCCCTCAGTAGAATTAGTTCGATTCCAACTGATCTATATGAAGGCACAAAGCCATCTCCATTATAAAAACTGTCCAGGAAACAATGCTAAGACAACCACTGTAATAGAAAAATAAGGTTATTAAAAAACATTTGGATCCCTCCTGGAGTACCCAAAGGTTAGTAACTTTCTGGCTTGCTGTGATCATGTGACAGCCACTCTGTGTGGAGGGGCTGCTCCCACTGAGAGTTACAGCCACTCTTCTAGAAATGAGCAACAACAGTAACTGCACATAAGAAGAATTCATTTGATAGACTGTAGTTTTGTGGGGATATATGCCATTTAAATATGGCTGCGCTATTGACAACTGCAGCCCCCACAGGCCTCTATGCTGTATACAACATGTTGGAGACTTGTCAGCGATGAGAAAGAGATTAGGCACGACTTGTTTTCCCAAACCTATTGTCCTGTTACTGTTTGGCTTGTTTACCTGAATTCCTTCTCCCTTGCCCGAAACTTATTGTTACTCACCCAAAGCCCATTGTTCTGTTGTTTGCTTCACTGCTTGCTGTATTGACTATAAATAAACCCTGGGACTGAAGCCAGGGTTCGACTCCTCAGAGTGACCCTCCTGGCCCCACTTCTCTGTAAGAGTTGTCTCCACCGTACCAACAACCGTCGCAGCTGTGACATAGTTTGATGGTGTTTGATTTTTAAGAGAGAGTTAATAATCAAAATATACTACTACTTTTTCTATGTTAATAAAACCACAATTCAGCCTCACAGAAACTGAGAGGCAAGGATTCCTGTCAATCTAATAGTCCAGCAACCTTCCCAGATGTTTTAGAGCCCACTTTACATTCATAGGGAGTCCCTAGGTGCTGCAAACAGTTAACACCCTTGGCTGCTAACTGAAAGGCGGACAGTTGGCGTCCACCCAGAGGCATCTCAGAAAATGGGCCTGGTGATCTACTTCAGAAAAATTAGCCACTGAAAACCCTAGGGAGTACAGTTCTACTCTGATACACATGAGGTCACCATGAGTTGGAGTCAACTCTACAGCTTCTAGTTTTACATTCATAGGCCTTTGTACCAACTCTTAGTACTTATCAACTTCATATCCCCACAACCTAGTGAAGAGTGTCATAGCAACTCTGAGTCCTACTCTTGAGTTAATATCCTAAAATCATGCAAAAAATCAAAATTATTTCACTGGCCCCAAAAGAGACTGTGTTGCTATATAGGCACCAACAAAAGGTTCTTCTTAAATACAAACTACATTTTGTGATGGCCCTAGAAACCTAAAATAACTCATTTCTGGTCTTTTGCTTAGAAATGCATTGTGACATCAACCAAAACACCCATATACACACAGATACACAATTTTCTAGAATCTTAGAACAAAAACCAAAAAAACATACAATCCCATTGCCATCAAATTCATTCCGACTCACAGAGATTCTATACGGACAGAGTAGAACTGCCCCATAGGGTTTCTAAGGCTATAAATCTTTACTGAAGCAGACTGCCACATCTTTCTCCCTTACAGGGTAGCTAGTGGGTTTGAGCCACCGACCTTTCAATTAGTAGTGAAGCACTCAACCACTGCGGCCACAAGGGGTCCTTAGAATCTTAGAACAAGTGAAGTTTAAACATGGATCATATTTGTGTGGCACTGACAGAAATAAGTAGTAAATAATGAATGACAGCAACATTACATAAATTTACATTAATTTTATTATTTATCTATAGGTTTTAAGTATAAGTAATGTGCTGTCAAGGCTGATGTAATTGTGTAAAACTATACCCTGTTCCCTATTTTTACCACTAATACAAAGGTCTTAGAGACTACAGGGTGGAAGTCTCCTTCTCCCTTTTGTAGGGAAGTCCCTTGAAGGACATTAATTCTGTCCCCACCTCAAAACAGTGCCCACTTATCTTTTAGGCATAGTAGACACAGTGTCTCCAGTTCACAGTAATTTTACAGGTCCACAAAAATGTTTTAATTTCTTTTAAAATCAGGAGAAAAAGGAACTTTTAGGTCAAAGAAAATGTTTATATAAGATTGCCTTTATACCAATGCTGTCATAAAATATTATACATACATTCTGTGGAAGAAGGGACCTACGAAGACAAAAAAATGCCTAGGGCTTATGAAAGTTATAATGCTGCCTTCCCTCAAAAATGTCCTTTGCTCACTATCAAAAATGCCAAGTTCCTTTTTTCAGCTGGGGAAAGTTCTCACTTCTTCACAAGAAATTCTCTTTGTTTTACTGGATTCCCCTTAGAAAAGTTTGAATTTTTGAAAGTTTGATTATTTTCAATCAGTATGCACCCAACTAGGAAGTTCCTTCCCCAAAGTTAGATTTTGAAAGAAGAATAGTAGAAAGAGGTGATGAGAACTTCATATGAGATCCTATAACTTTATAACCCAGACTAATGAAATAAAATGTACTCTCCCAGGCTCTGTGGACTGCAGGCAAAGGAAACGGTCGTGCATCTTTCTCTCTGTATTCCACGACCGTACAGCAGGGGGAGCGTGGCTTTCAGCACACGGGGCTGCTCGCTCCTCAGCTCAGCAAGGACCGTATCCCTATTTGCCCCAAGGTCATAGCTCTTAACTGAGCTTGCCAGCCCTGGGCCAGGGATACCAGGGCGTGACCCTTCCGGACTGGGGACCCTGGCGGGGATGGGGCCTATAGGGCAAGGCAGGAGGGCTCTGAAGCTAGGGATGCGATCACAATGCGGCCAGGGGATCAAAGGCAAAGGGGCCCGGGTCCCAAGCCGTCAGCGCCGCCGCCAGACTCCGCGCCGGTAGGGGGATGGGGTGCGTGTAGACGCTCCGCACCACAGTCGGACGGAGGAGTGCGGGAGCCGCCGCGGCCGCGCGCGCCGAAAGCGCGGAGGGTAGCTCCCCACCCGGGGGACCTGGGCCCGGGCCGCGAGCCGAGGACAGCCCGGACGACAGGAGAAGAGCTCCCGAACCAGCCGAGGGCCCGCCGAGAGGGCGTTTTCCCCGCCCCCAGCGCCTCGCCTGCCTGGCCCACTCCGAGCGCAGGGAGATCACCTCCTCCCGTCACCTCTCCCCGTCGCCCGGATCCACCCGGGGCCCCCGCCCTCGGGTCGCCCGCGAGTACCAAGTTGGCGGGAGCCTATAAAAGCCCGTGGCGGCGCGACCGCGGACACCGTGCAGACGCCCGAACAGCCGCCGCGAGCCCCGCGCCAACTCCTGCTCTGTCCGGACCGCCGGCGCGACCATGTCCCATCACTGGGGATACGGCAAGCACAACGGTGAGTGCGCGCCGCGGCAGCCGGCTGAGCGGCGACCCCGGCCCGGCCCCGCTCCGCAGTGCCCGCACCTGCTGTTTACCGAGGCCGCGGGGATCCGGGAAGGCGCAGGTGCGCTCCGGGCGCCCGCCCCGCCGGCGGCTCCCCATGCCGGGGATGCCCCCATCGCTGCAGCCCGGAGGCCACTGTCGAGGAATCCCGCGTCCGGCGGCGGCGCTCTGGGCCCGGGGAAGGGGGAAGCGCAGCCCCGACAGCCGGTTCCCGCGACTGTCCCCCGGACCCTGGAGGAAATGCAAAAGATTGTAACAGAAAATTTTAGTTCTTGATCCCAGAGAAATTAGGGGACGCCCCTCTCCCACCCTACCCCCCTGTCAGTCTCAGCACCACCTGTGGCTAAGGCCCTCAGCACCAACTGTCCCGGGGCATTTTCTCGGGCTGGTTTGATTCCATGAGGTTGATTTCTGAGGTTTTCCTACATTTCTCGACTTCCAGTATTAAGGGGTCACCAGAAACAGGGCTTTATCACGTCCACAGATCTGTGTTCTCCCAACACAGCCGAGGAAAGAGACGTGTCTGGGAGTGTGGCGCCTCCCAGGTGGTGTGGGGGTGTGGTGCCTCCCAGGCGGTACGGGGGTGCGGTGCGCCCCAGGTGGTCTGGATTGTGACTTGACCATTAAATGAAGGGTGCCCGGGCTGAGCATAACTTAGTCCTTATATCCAGACTCAGCCAGGCAACTAGGGAGGAATCTGAACCTGCTAGAATATGAGAGTTGCATACCCTAAATCCTAATAACAAGCCCTGAGGTAGTGTCCGCCAAATTCCAGTTGCGGCATTTCAGAAAAACGACAATAAAAATAGCTAGTATCATATGCCTCTCAAAATTTGTTCTAAGAGCTTTACTTGCATTGATTTTAATTCTTACAACCCTCCACGAGGTAGATGTTATTATTACCCCATTTTACAAATGAGAAAACTGAGGCACAGAGGTTAAGTGTCTTTCCAGAGCTGTTAACATCGTGCCACCAAAATTGGAACCGAGGCAGATTGGCTTCAGAATCATTGCCATTTTCTAGAGCTCCCGAAGTGCCCTTCTTCATACAGGGGGATTCACGTGTGTCTTCTCACCCCCAGGGCCCGAGTTCTGGCATGAGAGCTTCCCCATTGCCAAGGGAGAGCGCCAGTCCCCTATTGACATTGATACCAAAGCAGCCAAGTATGACCCTGCCCTGAAACCTCTGTGCATTTCCTATGAGCACGCAACTTCTCGGAGGATCTTGAACAATGGTCACTCTTTCAACGTGGAGTTTGATGACTCTCAGGACAAATCAGGTCAGTGTTTAAAAAATAACCGTGGCCTTTTAGCCAATAGTTGCTTCCCTTGATCAAGGGGAGGAGTCAGGAGTAGCGGCAGAAAATCCCCTAATACTACAGTTTGTCTCAGTATTCTAAGATGCCACTCAGGTAATCTTCATCGGATCCCAGACTCTGAGAAGAAGGCTAATTACTTTGAAGTGGCTGGGGTTGTTTCTCCCTTGCAAAGTGCCTGACTGCTATGTAGGGCATTGAAGAACTGGATATGACTATGTAATGTCACAAAAGGCAAAGGACCCTGGCAAAAAAGATTAGCAGTGATGAGGTTTGCAAATATTGAACTTTGAAGATTCTTCTTAAAATGTTATTTTCCGATGTTGATGCCTATCCAACAAAAAGTATATCTTAGTTTTATCTTCAAGGTAGTAATGAGAAGAGTGATTAAAAACCGGACAATTTAAAATATTGAAATTCTTGGAAACGTTAATATTTTGCAGTATTGGGCTAGTGTGATAAAGGTGGCAGTGTAATCTTGCTATCTATGCAGCTATTCACTCCCCTAAGGAAGATGTTTTAGAGTTGGTTTGCATACCTGAAGTATTACTAACAAAACTAATTACCATAATTTATTTGTAGTAGAGCTGTTTACAGGATGTCCACTGAATGCTTCTTTTTTCTTATTTAGAAATAGGAGAACAATCCCATTCAGACATAGTAGCAGACCTCTTTGCTCAGTGGTTGATTTAATTGCGAGTGCCCTATTTTCCCGAGTGCTTTCCTCTGAAGGTTGTTGAATGAATGGTACTGCAAACACATCTGTTTGGTGTCGGTGCAGGGGTGGGGGCAGTTGGAGGGAAATGAAAAAAAGATAAAGAAAACATGTACTACTGCTATCAAAGTTTTGGAGTAATGTATTATACACTATCATTATGGCTCAATATAGTCAAGTGGACTATTCTTTTTCAGTAGCTGTATATTTGGAGTCCCTGGGAGAGCAAGTGTTTATTTCACTGAGCTGTTTACCAATAAGTTGGAGGTTCCAGTCCACCCAGAGGCATCTCAGAAGAAAGGCTTAGCAGTCAGCTTTGGAAAAAAGTAGCCATTGAAACCCTACGGAACACAGCTTTACTCTGACACACATGGGATTTCCAGGAGTTGAAACTGACTTCACATCAACTGGTTTATATAATATATTCAGTCTAGCTTTGGGGAAAAAAATTTTTCTTAACCTCTCAACCCCACCTTTAAATTTTTTTTTTTTTTAACATTTGGCTTTCTGAAACAATGATTCAGGAAGACAAGTCATTGGGGGAATAATATGGAGATCATCTGAGAAACATTTTCAACCTACTTGTGTCCTGTGTGCACCCTTCCCCAGTACACACACACACACACACTCACATATTCTGGCATAGTATCATGATTTATTAGAATCAGGTTAAGGATGTACATTGACAATACTCCTTAAGTGATTCTGCTACACTGCCTTCCCAAGCATGCCTCTCACCCTAAAGAAACAGTGGTCAAATTATTTCAATTAAGTATAAAGAAAACAATTTCTTCCACGTAAAGAATATATTCAGATTTAGATTATAATATAACAAGGTAAGGGTATTGTGCATTTGGAAAGGATGTTATGAAATTACATGTTCAGTTACTTTAAAACCAAAAGAAGTAAGCTAGTCTGTAGCTGTTAACTTTTTTTAAAAAAAGATCACAATGAATGTATGTTTTAGTGTCTGCCAATAAAAATTATTGTTTTCAATGATACCTACCAAATTATAAACCTCACTGGATGCTGTTGGATGCTTAGTCTTTTTTTGGAACAATGAGAAGACAAATGTCTAATAAATGGAACCAGATAAAGTAAAATTTCCTAAATTACTTACAAATTTGATAATGAAATAAATTGTTCCAGTAATATATATTACTGCAAAGTGAATTTCAGCATATAGTCTGGTGGCTGCAAGTTCCAGCTGTGCCACTAACTAACCCAGTGATCCTGGGAATGATAGTAACTTAATCTAAGTTTTGCTTTTCTCAACTGTAAAATTGGGGTAACAGTAGTGTCTTCCATAGGGGAAGGATTAAACCGGGTGTATTGTCCATCTCTTGTTGTTGGATGCCGTCAAGTTGATCTGACTCTTAGTGACTCCATGCGACAGAGTAGAACTGCCCCATAATGTTTTCTAGGCTGTAATCTTTAGCCCTGGTGGCAAAGTGGTTAAGAGGTCAGCTGCTAACCAAAAGGTCGGCAGTTCGAGTTCATCAGCCACTCCTTGGAAACCCTACAGGGCAGTTCTACTCAATCCTATAGGGTTGCTCTAAGTCGGAATCGACTCGATGTTAACAGGTTTAGTTTTGGGTTAATCTATACGGAAGCAGATTGCCAGGTCTTTCTCACTGGTTGGGTTCGAAACACCAACCCTTAGGTTAGTAGCCGAACGCCTAACTATTGCACCACCAGGGGTCCTTGTTTTCCATCTAGTTCTTAAGAAAAACAATAAAATAAAAAGATGGTACTAACACCAAATTAAATTCAAGATGAGCTAAGCATCATAAGGGCAGGATGGAGGTCTGGTCTCCTTCCTGTATCCCTAGAGGTCGTGCTGGGGATACCTAAACTAGAAAGACAGAGAAACAGTAAACACCAACATCATTTTCATAAGTACAAAAAAAAAAAAGAAAAGGAAGAATGTCAAGGAACTATGAAAACATGAAAGAAGCTTAGAAGTCTGCCTGAATTAATACAGGTAAAGAAGGTAAAGAAGGCTTACGCTGATGCATGAAGGATTTTGATGTTTTGGAGGAGACTCCAGGCAAAAAGAAATAGGAAACACCAGGGGACATTAAGACAGTACAGTATGTGTTCTAGACAGGCGAGTAGGTATAACAAAAACAAGGTGAGGGATGAGTATTAGAAAGACTTGCTGCCCGTTATGTATATAAGACTCCTTTATAATTTTGCTTGTACCTCTTTGACATTTTCAGTTGTTTTAATTAAACAAGCAAGAGTTCCCCCCCACCCCGAATGCAGAATATATTAAAATGTTGATAATAAGGGGAAACATATCTACAGAATAAATTTAAAAAATTATACCATGGCAAAAAACACCCTTTAGCTGCTGCTGCTTTTTTTTTTTTTTTTTTAAGAATCCTCCACTCTCAAAGCTAGAACAGTAGAGATACTGTAGTCAAACCCACTTAAAATAAACTTGAAGAAACGGAAGGCTAAAGAGTTTAAATAACGTGCTAGTTGTCTCATTCCTACTTTGTTGTGGTGAGACTTAATGGCAATCATTTAAAAATAGAATTTGAATAGGAATCTTTGAGTAACAACCATAGCTGACTTTTAGTTTGTGCATATCGTGTTTTTAAAAACTGATGCACTTTTCTGGACATTTATGTCTAGAAGTAATTTACGCATTTTAGCTACTCCTCAATTTGTTTTAAATCAACAATTTAACATATCTTTTTGTTAGGAGTTATTTTTATAGTGTTCATATTTTAAGATACCCATTTCATCATATTTCCTGCATTTAAATGCTTCATTTCATTTGCACTTTTTTTTCCCTCATTGAGATTTCAGCCTCTAGAGAATCTCATAGATTCAGGTTTTCCAATATGTTCTAAATGTTATACCCAAATTTAAGTACTTGGGTATTAGGAACTGACCTGGTTTAACTTATTGCTTTAAGCTTGAAAAAGCCATAAATACAGAATTAATAGCTTTAACTAGAAGCTTGGGTTAAAGTTCTCATCAATCTTTTAAATTCCTTTAAAAATAAGCCATCTTAAATTAATGAAAAATTGCCAATCCTGTTAATTTTTTTTTTAATTATTGAAAAATAACTCTCCCTGCTTGAGATCTTTTATTATGCACTTTATCTGGGAGAAAAGAATGGTCAAATTATTAACTCCTACTACCTTATTAACTTTTATTAATGAATTTGCAACTCTCCTGCTTATTGCCAAGTTAGGGGCAAATAACACTGAACACTTTTGTTTGAATTATTGGGCCAACACATCTACAGCTCCTGTCTTGTCTCTTTTTTTCTTTTTTTAGAAATTGGAATATGTTTGTTTGTTATTTCAAGAAAAGAGGAGGAAGGAAGCTGAATGAGTTTACCTGTGTACATTTCAAGCAGACCATTCATTATCTGTATGACATAATGGATCTTAATACCTGAATCCTGCTTAATTTTCAGGGACTTGTTTTTGGAGCATAAAATTTTCCTTCCACAAGCAATTGTAAGTTAAAAGAAAACTAACAAATGAAAGGAATGATCATGAACACTGTTAGTATTGTCAGCATAATTCTAAGTATCTATAGAACTGACCAGGTTTTCTAAAACACAGTAGTTATGTTTGTATCAAAAGAATTTTTTTTTTACTCCTGTGTGATTGCCATCTAGCTGAAACTAGCAACTTCTTTTATCTTGAATTTTGATTGTGTTTACTCTGATGAAAGTGGCAGCTTTTTCTCATGGCATTTGTTTTCTTAACTTTAGGATTATTGGCTGCTGCCAAAAGGCAATATAGTAATGCATGATTTCAGTATTTCCAAATTACTCATAGAGAAGATTGTTCAACTCCTGGAAGTGCTGTGTTTTCAGTAGAATTTATTCATTTACTTATTAATAGGAAAGCACTTGAACTTTATTTTTAAACGAAGAGTTATCGGGAAAAGTTGATTTGTATTTTGCATTTAAGAGAGATTCTTCACATTCACTAAGGTCTTTAGTTTGTTATTTGGATGCATCTTAAATTAAGTAGTAATAGTAAGTCATTACGAAGAAAAAATTTTAAAGGGTTGACTTTTCAATTTGTGTAGGTAGTCTGATTTATTTCAATAATACTGAAGTGAATCTCTTAATTTTCACAAATAACATGTAATTTACATAATTTTCCCAAATAATATGTATAGGAAGACAGACTATTCTACAACATTTTGTGCTTATTTTGTGTTTACATGTATAGTAGTATGTGTAATGATGACCAGTCATGAAAATTAACGTCAGCGGGGGCTCTTTGTGTTAAGATTTGAATTTATGTTAAGTTTTGGGAGTCTCGACAAAGACTTTAGAGTAGAAAACTCCATTTATGTATCCCCCATCTCTCATGGAACACAATTCTGTGATACAGTACATCATTGACTCTTTAAAGCCCCACTAATATGGCTGGATTTTACGGAGAAAAAATATGCAGTCAGCTATTTCTGCTAACTTAAAAATATTTTTGCATTAGAAAAACAGGTATCATTTTAAATTTGGATAGTTCAGAAAATGGCATGTAGTAATCAAAATAAATAATGAAGTGGAACCAGAATATAGCCTAAATCCCTATCTTTTAACCAAACTGTTGTCATTTCTATTTCTCAAACAGATATGCTACCTTTATTATAGAGTTATGGCAATTTATGGCTCTCACAATGTTTTTGAGGAGCTTCAATGACTAAATTCTCTGCTAAGCATTTGCTGAGGAATAACCAGCTAGCTAACTATTTGAAGAAGGTCAGGAATGCTGCTTTCTCTATTGATTAAATTTTAAGGATTTCATAACCTTTCCTAATTACCATGGGCTTCTAATCTACATGGCAGCATACTTTTATTTTAACAGGAGCTGAAACAGGTGTCTGGTGATAGTAGATTAGCACAGAATGTGTTTAATCATTGAACCCAGAGCATTTTTTAGTATTAGCAAGCCTTATTTAATAAAAGCTGATACGCACTCTTCCCTAATTTGAAATCGTCTCTGAAACAAGTAAAAATTGAAATGTCCTCTGAAATAAATAAATGAGGATTGAATTTTAAGGTCTGCAAAGGAGAGACTAAGAATAAGAAATAGCAGTAAACTTTATTCTCATTAGAATTTAAGATCCTGGTGTGATTCTTCACAGGGGAGGGAAGATACATTTAGAAAGATCAGTTATCTCAGATGCTTAATGTGATTAATTAATTTTGCTATTTGGTGGAGTTAAGGATGTTACAAATAGTATTTGCTTGTTATGATCATCAGTTGGTTAATAGCTTTTGAAAGCTATTATAAAGGACTTTTTTCAGTATCATTTTATTTCATAAACATATATTTCATTTTTAAGGGTATATTATTATGAAACAAACGGGAGGGAAGTTCTTTCATTTTTCAAAAAGCCTAGTGTTGAGGCTAATTCTTTACTTAGAGAATTAACTGATACAATAAACTTGTACAATAAGTAGTTTTATGCTTCAAGAGATGTGATTTGAATCAGAATATATCACAATTTGTGTTTCTTTAAAAGATCTGTTATAACACCATTCATAATTTGTTCTTTCTTTTTCCCTTTTTTCTCCTGCCTGTTGTAAGGCAGGGCTGGCAACCAGAAGTCATGCTGTCAGGAGCCATACAAAGGCCCTATTTCCTAAATATCTTCCAGCCAGTTTTATCTTTTACTTTGAATAGATGAACGGATGTGGACAAAACCAGTAGAAATGATTTTGTTCAGTACTGTGGACTAAGCCTTAGTCTGGACTTAATTTTCACACAGAGAAAATGTTATGAGGGCATAAATTTGTGTATGTATATATTGTATGTGTATGTGTGTGCGCGTATGTGTGCGCGTGTGCGTGTGTGTGTGCGTGTGTGTGCGTGTGTGTGTGTATATATATATATATAAAAAACAGAGTGAAACATTGCCTGCCCCTGTGTCATCCTAATGATCGTTGGTATGTTTCAGTCCATTGTTGTGGCTTTTATGTCAGTTCATCTCATTGAGGGTTTCCCTTCTTTTTGCTGACCCTCTGCTTTACCAAACACAATGTCCTTTTGCAGTGATCGGTCTTTCCTGATGATATGTCCAAAATAAGCAAGCCAAAGTCTCCGCATCCTTGCTTCTAAGTAGCATTCTGGTTGTATTTCTTCTGAGATTGATTTTTTTTTTTTAAGTGCTGAAAGGAGGACCCCTCGATGGCAGTTATAGGTTGCTACAGTTTCACTTTCACTGGGGTTCATCTGATGGACAAGGTTCTGAGCACACAGTGGATAAAAAGCAATATGCTGCAGAGGTAAGAAATGCTTTTTTATCTTTATATGAAAATTTCCAGTTTCTTTAGAAATTGTTATTTAGCCTTAATTTCAAAATAAACTTAATTTTGTAAATGCAGTTCAATCTAAGTGAACCAAGTCTTTTACAAAGAACCTTCACGTTTACTTCTTATAGTCTTTATTTGAGATATTACATTAAAGTCTGAAAGACCTTTTCTACTGCCTCCAAAGACACCATTTGCCAAAAAAAAAAAAAAAAAAAGTAAAATTGTACGATCCTGTTAATCTTGGCACAGTGGTTAAGAGCTTGGCTGCCAACCAAAAGGTCAGCAGTTCAACTCTACCAGCCACTCCTAGGAAACCTTATGGAGCATTTCTACTCTGTCCTATAGGGTTTTTGTGAGTTGGAATCTTTTATTAATCTTATAAAGGAGCCCTGGTGGCACAGTGGTTAAGAGCTTGGCTGCCAACCAAAAGGTCAACAGTTCGAATCCACCAGCCACTCCTAGGAAACATTATGGAGCATTTCTACTCTGTCCTATAGGGTTGTTGTGAGTCGGAATTGACTCAATGGCAACAGATTTGGTCTTTTTTTTTTTTTTTTGGTTAATATAAAACTAGAAATAAAATTGGGCCTCCCTTCAAAAATAGGTGTTTCTTTTTCTTAGAATTATTGATGAAATTACCTGCTATTATGCCAAGTAGTGGATAATTAGAATTAAAATAAAGGACAAGTTTATATTTAAAATTATTCACATTTTCACTTTCTTTAGCAACCTAGCTATGAAGAAAAAATCCTTGGATAAAATCTGTGGTCTTTTATTATGTGAGTCATTCGTAGTTTATTTGTGATTTTTTTCTCCTGTGTCTTCAGCTTCACTTGGTTCATTGGAACACCAAATACGGGAAATTTGAAAAAGCTATGCAACATCCTGATGGACTGGCTGTTTTGGGTATTTTTCTGAAGGTAAGTTGATGGCCTAATTCTTTTTTTCCTGTTTTCAAGAAAGACTGATCAGACAGAACATTCATAACAAACAAGACATTCTACAAAAAAGCCTGGGAAATGCCTTTGACTTTGAGGTATTTTCAGTCTTATTTTCCATTCCACATTTACTTGAGGAGATCTGGTGGTGCAGTTGTCGGAGCACCTGGCTGCTAATGAAAAGGTCGGTGGTTCAAACTCACCAGCCTCTCTGTGGGAGAAAGCTGTGGCAGTCTGCTTCCCATAAAGATTTACAGCCTTGGAAACCCTATGGAGCAGTTCTACTGTGTCCTATGGGTCCATATTTACTATTAACAGTGAAATGGAGGACAAGAAGACAATTTGAGACATATTTATTAGGTACTGTTTGGATGTGAATGTGAAGGACATAAAGAGGTATAGTTTGGATATCCAACAGGGTTTTGTAATTCAACCGAATCCTGTTGTTATCTTGTGCCATCGAGTCGATTCTGACTCATGGCAACCCCATATGTTACAGAGTAGAACTGCTCCATAGGGCTTTCTTATCTGTAATCTTCATGGTAGCAGATTGCCAGGACTTTTCACACCCACCGCCTACATTTTGGTTACCAACCGAGCGCCAATTATTTGCACCAACTAGGGACCTTCAGCCTAATCCTAGATAGGACTATTTCACAATCAAAAAAAAAAAAAGCCAGTTGCCCTTGAGTTGATTTGGCTCATGATGATTTAATGCGTGTCACGTGCTAAATTAAGGTTAGGTTTTGAAGAAGTAAAGACAGTAACTGTCCAGTTTTGGAGAATTTCGGATAACAGTGGGACATACAGGTGGACCTGCCCTCTAATAGTTGTCAAGGGGAGTGGAGAATATTCATGGGTCCTAATACATGTGTGGAGGTGGAAGCTATGATTGTGTATGAAATCATACAAGGAAAGCAAGGAGAGAGAATAAAGCTGCTGAGGATGCAACTCTGAGAAACTCCAAAGTATATGTGATTTGAGGCAGTGAAATAGGTGCCAATTAAATGAATAAAAAAGAATACAAGAGTAAAGGGAAATTTAGAGGCTGTACAGCATAAGGAAAACAAAAGTATAGGGAACTTTAAAAGGATGTAGACAATAGTGTAAAATCCTACAATAAATTTAAGATAAGCACTTGAAGAGTATTTTTTGCAGATGACAGTTGGAGGCCAGTGGGGATTTTTGAAAGTGTTGTTTCCGAGGTGCAAGCAGGGCAGGCTGGAGATTCACTGAAAGTAGGACCATCTATGGCATCAGTGTAGTCAGGCTAAGACTGATGGGTGGCATTGATAAATTGATGGATTTTGGTTTTCTATATGGAGAAATTTTATGATAAAGCTGCCCCAATCAAAATTGACACAGTACCAACTGGATTATGGTATCTTGTCCCTTGTGTTTTTCTACAGATTGGCAGTGCTAAACCAGGCCTTCAGAAAGTCATTGATATGCTGGATTCCATTAAAACAAAGGTAAAGTTGAATTTTCTGTCACCTCCGAAAAAACTCCATTGCCATCGAGTCGATTCTGACTCATAGTGACGCTGTAGGACAGAGTAGAACAGCCCCATAGGGTTTCCAAGGAGGAGGTGGTGGATTTGAACTGCTGACCTTTTGGTTAGCAGCCGTAGCTCTTAACCACTGCACCACCAGGGTTCCTCATTAGGTACCTATTTCCCATACTCTGTTCGTTTTCAAAAATTCTTTTGATTAAATTGAATGGGCTCTTTGGCAGGTGGTGTTCGGATGAGCAGTAAATAAAGATAAAACATTGATTATATAATTAATTAACTTTTTCTATATCCAAAATTGATCCTAATACTAGAATAATTCTGAGACTTGTGTTTAATCTTGTTTCTCATCTCTGAAACAATGTATGCAAGATACAGAGAATCTTACAGTGGTTGCAAGGAAGCTGAAAGGGCCTCTGGTCAAATTATTCACTTATTCACATAGCAAATATATATTGAATACTTACTACATACCAGTCAGTTTGCTAACCCAAGGGACACAAGGGTGAACAAGACAAACAAGGCCCTGCTTCATAGAGTTTTATATTCTATGACTTCTTTGAATTCATCCTTCCTATGTTTAAATCCTCTCACAGCATAGCTCTGCTGAGATCATTGAGCATCGGCTTAAACATTGCAGTTACTTCCCATGATGGGGAATCCTTGCTTTAGAAGGCTCATCCTCAAATGAAAGTAGCATCTATTTTCTGAAAAACTCACACATTACTTGTAGCTTGATCCCCTTGAATCATATACAATAAGCCAGTTCCCCCCTTCCAGATGACTCTACTCTGTCCCTAGTAGCCCCTCACCCCCAGGCTAATTATCTTCAGTTCCCTTTAACTGTTGTTAAATGACCTGGTTATGTGTCTTTGAAACAACCTTGTCACTCTTCCAGTAACTCATTCCTGTTTTCATCTATTGATTCAAAAGTATAGGGTCCGGAACTAAAGGCATTTCTTAATTCTGATCTGACTATCAAAGAGGATAGCAAGACAATCACCTCCACGTCAAAGATACCATATTTCTGTTACAGCAACCTAAAATTACATCATTTTAATGGCAGCAGTCTGACTTTCAATACTGTATGTGATTGGTTTATGACTTAGTGGCAAATATAAGAGATTAGAGGACAAGATGAGAAATGGACATATGAAAATAATAATCAGATTTTCTTGCTCATATCTGCCAGTCTCTATTTTCAAGTCAAATGTCTTATGTTAATTTTTTTCATTTTATCTGTCAGTGAATATGGAACCTGTCTTTAAGAAAAGCTTTATGGCTGTCAGAGGGGAATATCCCTATTTATATTTCCTGCTCCCCTGCCTTCCCCCGACTCTGATCATGTGGCATTTTTAACCTGTGTATTTGTTTGCCTTTTTCAGGGTAAAAGTGCCGAATTCATTAACTTTGATCCTTGTGGCCTCCTTCCTGGAAGCTTAGACTACTGGACCTATCCAGGCTCACTGACCACCCCTCCGCTTCTGGAATGTGTAATCTGGATTGTGCTGAAGGAACCCATCAGCGTCAGCAGTGAGCAGGTCAGTTTCTAATGAGAAGTCTGTTGAGAGAGGAGGAACATTTAGTCCAGGCAGAATAGGTTGGCCTTTGAAGTCAGACAGACCTGGGATTTAATCCTCCTTCTGCTGTTCCTAGCTGTAGAACCTAGTGCCTATGACAGTGCCTGGCAAATAAATGGCATTCAATAAATACTTGTTATTAACTACAGTACCTTAGGCAGCTTGTTTAGTCTGTAAAATTGGATAGCCATTGTGAAGATTAAATGAGAAAGAGGTCTCTCACCTAATAAATCCTGTTTTGTAACCCATGATGAAATCGAGGCCCAGAGAAATGAGATTTCATATTCAAGGTTACATAGATATCAGGGATAATTTCCAGCCCACTACTCACTCATCAGAACTCATTGCAATTTTATTTATATCAGGATGCATTTCTGAATGCTAACAAACGTAATAGTCATCCCTTGGAGAAACAGTATCTATCAAAACTCACTCTGGGTTGGATTAGAGGCATAGACCAGAGACTCCTACTTTCAACATGCATTGTAGTTTGTGATGTTCAAGTGATTAATGCAGCTCAGTCACTGAGTATCCATGAAAATGAGTATAAATGAATTTTTCCTTGGTAGGATCCGTAAGAGCTTGGATCCTGGGTAATTTAAGGAGATTTAAATCTACAAATAGAGCTAAAACATTTTAACATTTGAGTTTGGAATCATAGAAGTTTAGAGCTGGAATGTGCAATAGGGATTGCATTGTCCAACCTTCTCATTTTATAGATAAGCAGTCTGAGGTACAGGGAAATTCCTATTCCTGTGTTCTGTGTTTTCATTTAACTTATGTACCACAGTATTTTATATCTTTCTTTAAAGAAAATCTACTTCTAACAGTGAAAATTTACCTTAGTATCTCAAAGGGGGCCAAAGAAAACCAGTATGCTCGACTGGTATGTGACTTGAAAATTGGCCTCATAGTCTTAAAATACTTGAGCAGTCTCCTTGAAGTAGTAGCATAAGAAAAGATTACAATGCCACTTCTTATTTGTAAATGTAGTGTTTGAATTTCAATCTAAAGCATGAAAATTATTTTTCCTTCCTTCACTGGAAGCAAACCAGCTTTGAAATCCATAGCCTGACATGGAGAGCTGTTATAATGAATGATTTATTGTGTACCCACACACACACCCATATACACATATGTACATACAGGTAAGGGCAATTGAACCTACTCCATTGGTCCATGTGCGCTGAATTTGCCCTTTAAGATAGAAAGTGGTGTTAAGCTAGATATATTAACTGTGTCTATGGACAAAATGCCAATAGGGATATTTTTCATATCATATAACAAGGAGTCAGGAGGTAGGGAGGTACTGAGTCAGTACATCAGGGTTTTGGTTCCTCCTTTTTGTAATTCCATTGGCTTTGCCTCTCCCATCTGCAGCTTCATCCTCAAGGTAGTTGCAAGAGCAGTTTGAGCATCACAGCCGGATACAACCATGCCCAGAGCAGGAAGGGATCAGCTCTTCCATTGGTTTCCTAAGAGCAGGGAGGCCTTTCCAGAAGTCCACTAGCAGAACTTTATCTCACTGGCTAGCTTGCTCCTTGCCCACTTCTAAACCAGTTCCTGGCAGGGAAATATGGTCACTGTTATGGATTGAATTGTGTTCCCCAAAAATATGTGTTGTAAATCCTAACCTCTATGCCTGTGGTTGGCGCCCTGATGGCACAGTGGTGAAGAGCTTGGCTGCTAACCAAAAGGTCAGCAGTTGGAATCCACAAGCCACTCCTTGGAAACCGTATGGGGCAGTTCTACTCTGTCCTGTAGGGTCACTATGAGTTGGAATTGACCCGATAGCAGTGGGTTGTTTTTTTGGTTACGCCTGTGGTTATAATCTCATTTGGGAATGGGTCGTCTTTGTTCTGTTAATGAGACAGGATTAGTATAGAGTGTGTCTTGAGTCAATCTCTTTTTTTGAGATGTAAAAGAGATTAAACAAGCAAGAGAGAAGCAGAGATGGGTGAAGAGAGATGCCAAGCCACATGAAAATTGCCCAGGAGCAGAAGCTCAGAGACAAGGACCTTTGTCCAGAGCCGACAGAGAGAAAAGCCTTCCCCTAGAGCCAACACCCTGAATTGGGACTTCTAGCCTTCTGAACTGTGAGAAAATAAATTTGTGTTTCTTAAAGCCACCTACTGGTGCTATTTCTATTATAGCAGTGCTGGATAACTAGAATTGGTTGATGTTCAGCCATTTCAGGAAGTAGTATATGATCAAAAACCAATGGTATGAAGGAAGAAATCCAAGCTTCACGGAAGGCATTGGCGAAAAACAAGGCTCCAGGAGTTGACGGGATGCCAACTGAGATATTTCAACAAACGTTGCAGTGCTGGAAGTGCTTCATTCATCTGTGCCAAGAAATTTGGAGGACAACTGCCTGGCCAGCTGACTGAAAGAGAGCCATATTTGTGCCCATTTCAAAGAAATGGAATGAAATGTGGAAATTATCAAACAATATCATACACAAGTAAAATTATGCTGAAAATCATTCAAAAGCAGTTGCAGCAGTACATCGACAGGGAACTACCAGAAATTCAGTTTGTATTCAGAAGAGGATGTGGAACAAGGGCTGTCATTGCTGATGTCAGAGGGATCGTGGTTGAAAGCAGAGAATGCCAGAAAGATGTTTATCTGTGTTTTATTGACTATGCAAAGGCATTCGACTGTGTGGATCATAACAAATTATGGATAACATTGAGAAGAATAGGAATTTCAGAACTCTTAATTGTTCTCATGAGGAACCTGTATACAGACCAAAAGGTAGTTGTTGGAACAGAACAAGGGGATACTATGTGGTTTAAAGTCAGGAAAGGTGTGTAACAGGGTTGTATCTTTTCACCATACTTATTCAATCTGTATGCTGAGCAAATAATCTGAGAAGCTGGACTATATAAAGAAGAACAGGGCATCAGGATTGGAGAAAGACTCATTAACAACCTGTGATATGCAGATGAAACAACCTTGCTTGCTGAAAGTGGAGAGGACTTGAAGTACTTACTGATGAAGATCAGACTGCAGCCTTCAGTATGAATTGCACCTCAACATAAAGAAAACAAAAATTCTCACAACTGGACCAATAAACAAGATCATGATAAATGGAGAAAATATTGAAGTTGTCAAGGATTTCATTTTACTTGGATCCACAATCAATGCCTATGGCAGCAGCAGTAAAGAAGTCAAATTTTCATTGGGCAAATCTATTGCAAGTGGTCTCTTTAAAGTGTTAAAAAGCAAGAACGTCACTTTGAGGACTAAGGCGTGCCCAAACGAAACCATGGTATTTTCAATTGCCTCATATGCATGTGAAAGCTGGACAATTGATGCCTTTGAATTATGGTTTTGCCAAACAATATTGAATATACCATGGACTGCCAAAAGAACCAACAAATCTGTCTTGGAGAAGTATAGCCAGAATGCTCATTAGAAGCAAGGATGGCAAGACTTTGTCTCACATACTTTGGACATGTTATCAGGAGGGACCAGTCCCTGGAGAAGGACATCATGCTTGGTAAATTAGAGAGTCATCAAAAAAGAGGAAGACCCTCAATGAGATGAATTGACACAGTGGCTGCAAGGATGGGTTCAAGCATAATAACGACTGTGAGGATGGCGCAGGAGCGAGCAGTGTTTCCTTTTGTTGTACATGGGGTCGCTATGAGTCGGAACTGACTCAGCGGCACCTAACAACACAACAGATAACTAAGATAGTCACCATGATCCTTTAAGACCTATACAAATTTACCCCCCTGAGGATCAAAGGGAGGGCAGGTGTATGTTAATGAGAAAGTATGGGGGTGGGGAGGGTTGTTGTTAGGTAAGCAATAGAAAATGGTCTGCTGTATTCTGCCACCTTTATTTTGTATTCTCAGGCTTTGTATCTCTAATGCTGAAATAATGAACCAACTTGTGATCAGGGTAAGAATGTAATTCAGTTGGCAGGGTGACGAGTAGAAATCAGACATACTGGTTTGGTAAAAAATTTGATCTGATGGCACTTTATAAACAGATTCGAAGTCTTTCAGATTACTGGGATTCTATTGTAAAAAACCAATCTCCAGATGCCATTAGAAATTTCCTTGCATTGCATAAAAATAGTCATCATGTATGTTACCCCATAGCTGACCTGCGTTGAAGGTGACTTTATAGGGGTGATTAAGGGAATGTTAATGGACAGCAGAGATCACGTTAAAGTCTATTGGTTTATTTTAAAAAAAAAAACAACCTGTTGCCATCAATTCAATGCTGACTCATAGCAACCCTTTAGGACAGAGTAGAACTGCCCCATAGGGTTTCCAAGGAGTGGCTGGTGGATTCAAACTGTCGACGTTTTTGTTAGCAGCCAAGCTCTTAACCACTGTGCCACCAGGGCACCATTGATTTATGGGAGCCTGTATTACCTCCCAACCACTCTCTTCACTTAGATCAAGTCTTGCTTAGGAAAACGCAAGTACCACTTGGGGAAAAAAGACCTTGAAGAAGGGGGAGACGGATTGAGGATTACTAGTGTCACAGATTCGGGCCAGGAAACTGAAACAGTCTAAAAGGGAACAAAAAGTAACCATTGGTAAGGGTTTGAAAACCCAGCTTGGGCAAATTCGTTCTGATGTTTCTGTATATTTAGGCAAAAATGCCAGCTCATTACTCTGCCCCTGGAGCTTGCAGATCTAGGACCACTTTATCTTATTGTACAGATGCTGTAGTTTGTCTCCCCTGGGTCAGAAAACAAAACTTCAATTTGGATCTAGAATTATTATTATTTTGCATCTCTGAAGTATGATTTTATAGGCTTTTGCTGTTTGATTTTAAAATTAAAAGAAGACAAACTCATTAAAAATTTCCTTCTAATGACACCAACAGTTTTATATATAAATTTTGCTTGTTATGTGAAAACATACATATATAATCTATATGTAATTATATACCTGTTGAGAATCTAATAGAATTTTGAATCTAATAGAGTCATTGACATGGTACTGCAAACATTAGGGAATGTATTTCAAGATATAACATAAGCACATAAGTGAGTATGAATGTGAGACTCATTTTTTTAATTTTTAATTTTGCCTTCTAGATGTTGAAATTCCGTAATCTTTACTTCAACGAGGAGGGCGAACCTGAAGAACTGATGGTGGACAACTGGCGTCCGGTTCAACCACTGAAAAACAGGCAAATCAAAGCTTCCTTCACATAAGATGGTCCCAGAGCTGGTGTCCAAATATTGAATCTTCACATATTTCCCTTTAGTTTAAGCAGGTCCCACAGCCAGTATCCAAATAACGAATCTCTGGGTGTTTCCCTTTAGCTAAGCACAAATCAACATTGGTGATTTGGACTCTCACTGCTTTGCATCTGGTTTTCTAGACCCTTCATCTCTCACCTGACTTACTAATAAAATCTGAAGAGCTGGACCAGTTGTCATGCTTGACAGAATTGCTGTGACTGGTGCTTTGCTTAACAGCTGTAGCTTTTCTGTAACAGAGAATATAATACAAAGAATAGGAATAAAATACCTTGACTTTGTTCACAGTACACAGGGTTAAGAGTACCTGCAATTGTTCACTAAAATGCTATTTTAAAAACCTAGGAAAGCAGAATGGTTGAGAGCAAATTCTTGTCATGAGGTAAATTGAGGTATGTAAGGTAAATCGGGTAAAATAGTCATGATTCTATGTAATGTAAATCAGATAAAGTAAACGTTCATGATTCTAAGATGTTATATTAAAAAAAGCTTAAAATTCTTATACATTTGTAGCAATGTTATCTTAAATACGAATTATGTTGTAATTTAGTAACTTTTGAACTACCAAGATGTAAATGAAGTATTATCTATAAAAATTGTTATAATCAAAGTTGTGATACAGAGTATATTTCCACTCAGATAATATATCATAAATTAATAAATATTGTATTTTAGATATATTCTCTAATAAAAAATAACAAAATTCTATTTTGAAGTATTTTGTTGTATCCTGGGCAAATGAGTAATAATAGAGAGGCAAATGTCTACTTTTATCATTCATATGCCTCCTTCTATTCATATAATGGAGTCTCCATAAAAGGAAAAATCCTGAAGGTCATTTACTGTGGGCTCACTATTTGCCAAGCACTGTTTTAAGGGCTTCCAGAATATTAACTCACGCAATCCTCATGACAGTCCTCTGAGAATTAATCCTGAAGAGCAGAGAGAAGAACAGATCACATTTAAAAGTAACAAGGTGGAGAAGGGGGAAGAAGTATATACATGCTGAATCAACATAAACTCCATGGAAATAAAATCAGTAAAGGTCCATTTTATTCACAAAGGAAATTCAAATGATACTCAAAAGTAAGAGAATAATTTGAATCCTGGAAACACAGATTCTACCTATTTAAGAAAGGACAAGAAGAGAGGATGAGACTTAATGGTCTGACAGAGTCTAGAGGAACCGCCAAAACTATGGCCCCGGACACTCTGCTAACCCAGAACTGAAACCATTCCCGAAGCCCACTTTTTAGACAAAGATTAAACAGACCTATAAAACAAAAAATTAATACATGTGAGGAATGTGCTTCTTGGTTCAATCAAATATGAGACCAAATGGGCAACTTCTGATCAACGGCAGGATGAGAAGGTAGGAAGGGACAGGAACTGGACGAATGGACACAGGGAACCTGGGGTGGAAAGGGGGAGCGTGCTGTCACGTGGGGATTGCAACCAATGTCACAAAACAATATGTGTATAAATTTTTGAATGAGAAATTAACAAGCAGTAAACTTACACCTAAAGCACAATAAAAAAAAAAAGGATAAATGAAATAAAAATCTCCAACTATTATGCCTGTATCCCGACCATGGAGTAAGTGCTTGGCTAATGAGTCATTCTGAAAACCTGAGTTTAAAATACAACTCAGATTCTACCCCTCAGGGCATAAAAACTCTTTGCTACTTTAGATAGAAATTTTCTAAACTCACACTCTTAACGGCTTTTCCAAAGAATTACACTGAGATTTACATAGGAGAAAGATCATAAGCTTCAGAGTTTGAAGACTTGTTTTGAATACCAGCTTTTCCCCACCTTTCTGATCCTTGGTGTAAAGAGAGGATAACATTGAGTGCTGTTAAAACTATAATGTCTGGTGCATAGTAGGTATTCAAAAATAGTTCTTTTTACTTTCTGGAGACCTGGTGACACAGTGGTTAAGAGCTACATTTGCTAACCAAAAATGTCAGCAGTTTGAATCCACCAGCCAATCCTTGGAAATCCTATGGGACAGTTCTACTCTGTCCCATAGGGTTGCTATGAGTTGGAATTGACTTGACAGCAATGAGTTTGGTTTTGCTGTGATTTTACTTTTTTAAAAATGATTTTGTCAACCATTTTGTCAACTTTTTCTTAGTTGTTTTCTAGAATGAGCATTCCCCCCTAATTCATTGTTTATTGTTTGGATTTGAGACTCACATAACAATCTTAAATAGAATTGTATATAAACTAAAAGCAAACCTTTAGATGAGTTGCTGAGAGCCTCTTCTGAATATATAATGAAGAGTTTAATTCATGAATATTTTCACATATTACTTTTCAGCTATATGCTGAACCAGAAACTTGTCAACAACTGAAGTCTATATATAGGTGGATTATTATGTACTTGGTACATAATAGATGGTCTTCAAATATTGATTGAACAAATGAAAATATGTTTATGTCACTCTGAGCCAGAATTAAATTTAATAAGGAGATATAAATGTTTAAAAAAGTTTTGTGTAACAAAGTTTTTGCTGTATTTATAATGTGCCATAGATTATCCTTACTTTTTCTACCAAAATATCATTTAAGACAAAGAAGTATATCTGTAGGACTCAGGTAGAGCTTGAAGCAGACCATCGCTTCTTTAAAGTTTCGTGTTTTATTAAATATTATTCAAATTTTACATTCTACTTTGTACTATAAAACTACATTCTTTATTTTTCAAATTTATTGTAGTAGGATATATATAACAAAAAGTTTGACATTTTAGCCATTCTTAAGTGTATGACTCAGTAACAATTATATTCACCATGTTGTGCTACCACCATCACTACACATTAGTTTGTAATATAAATGTTTTAAATTAATAAAATTAGCACCTGGGGATGATGTGCCATGTTTATCCTGCAGTGTAACATTTCCTCTGGCAGTCAGGTGCACCCTCTAGGTCCCAGGTAGCCCCCATTTGAGATGAACAAATAAAATAATGTTGAGAGGCAGGAAATAACAATTTAATATTAAAGACTTAGGATTTTTATTACATTTATTTCTCATGGACAATCAGTATTTTTAAATGAAGTGTGCACCTTGATACCTTAATGGATATTATTATTGGTATTAGTGTGTTTGCATTTTTTAAAGTTTATTTGAATTTCTCTCTTGCATTTCACTACTAAGACCTTAACTTTGGTAAATTATTTGCACTGAATTAGAAAGGAAATAATGTAAAAGATAGTGTGGTGGGCAGAATAATGACCCTCTGAAGATGTCCATGTCATAATCCCTGGAACCTGTATATTACCCTACATGGTTGAAGAGACTTTGCAAATGTGATTAAATTGAGGATCTTGAGGAGATTATCCTAGAAGATCTGGGTAAACTCAGTGTAAAATCACAAGGGTCCTTATAAGAGGGAGGCAAGAAGATGAAGCATGAGAAGGCAATGTGACCACAGAAGAAGAGATTGGAATGATGTGACACGAGCAAGGAATGCTAGTGGCCTCTAGAAGCTGAAAGAGGCAAGGAACAGATTCTCCTCTGGAGCCTTCAGAAAGAACCAGCCCTACTGAAATCTTGATTTTAGCCTTATAAGACTCATTTCAGATTTCTGATCTCCAGAAAAGTAAGATAATAAACTCATGTTATCTTAAGCCACTAAGTATGTGATAATTTGTTACAGCAACATTAGGAAACTACTGCAGATACTGAAGTCTCATGGAAAATCCATATGAGACTAAATTGTGGGTGGCCAGAAATTTGCAGTCCAGCCTCTTATTCCCTTTGCCTGGACTGTGCTTCCCCTCCATCTATACCTATGAAATCTTACCCATTCTTGGATGCTTAGCTCAAACCTCAGCTCTTAACTCCTAATCTCTCATTCATGGTTTGTGCTTTTGTGGCCTCCAACAACATTTGTCCCCCTTCTTCTGGTGCCGTATTTATGATGGTGTCTGTCTCCCTTACTAACTTTGTAGCTACTTGAGGGCAGTGCCATGCTTTGTTCCCTTTTGTTTCACACAGGATGTTGTGTGCACAGCTGGTGCTTGGTGCATGTGCCCTGGATGGAATTAGCAGGGAATGAATTTTGTCCTAAATCTGAACTCAGTTCCGTGGAGGGGAAAGAAGAGATCTTAGTTAATACATGCATCGAGGGTGCAAATTTAAACATTCTACACTAAGATGTGCAAAGAAAATGTAGCTCTTTATTTAATACATGCATTACTGTGTATATTTACTGTAGCTGATCTCATTTTCCTTATGACCACTCTCATCTTCAAATCCTCTGTGCAGTGGTGAGAGGGTAGTTGAAAACTGAAATTGGCCACTAAATGGCATCTCAATTTATTCTTGTTTAAGCATTTTTTTCTAGATTTCTTACCCTCTACTCCCGCACCAGCCCACTCAGATGGTGCCTGGGTGACTGGGGAGAGGCCTCTGGATCTGCAAAATGTCCTCTAGATCCTTGTTGGCCTCTGCCTGGGCTGGCAATGGCCCCTGATCTGTTTCTACTGAGGTGTGGCCTGTTTCATCTGATCTTGGAGGTACATATAGCTGAAGATTTATCTCTACCATTTTCCTGTAGTTGCAAAGTCCTTTACCCTATTATGACCCCAGGAAAGGGCCCAGGTGTTGCATCCAGAAAGAAATGGGATAAGGGAAACCCCTGGCACACGAAAGAATCACACAGGGACAGCCTTCCTATTCAGACCCAGGTGCAGGTGTCCTTGCTTTCCCCCACCGCTCAGATTCAACCTGAGAGCGTTGGGGGAAACAGACACTGGTACCTGCTATCTTTGCTTCCCTCTTCCTCCCTTCCCCCTTTCACACTGGGTCAGAAGAGGTAGCCTGTCCCTTCTTCCTGTGCGACAGAGGCTTCCCTTATACTCTGTCCATTCCCAAGGGTCATAATAATGGACTAAATTCAGGGAAAGAATATAGGTTTAACAATAGGGAAAGTCCATCAGAAAATCTTTCCAAAATACTCTCCACATTATACCTACCAATAAATTGCCGCAAAAGAATTTTCAGAAGATTACAAATTTTTTTTGTCGCTAATCATTTTTAATTCTTCTACTACACATGCATTGTTGCTCTAATTCTCAACACAATAAAAATTATTCCTATTTTACAATGAAGACATGGAGGCTCAGAGGGATAGTAAACATATCCAAAGTCCTACGGCAAATGTGTCAAAATGAGGATTCAGACTCAAATTTAGAGTTTATGTTCTGTACGCTATACCACATGAAGGATAATGGCCCAGGGCTTGTCTCTAACTGAATCAAACCTTTCTACCTTTTTCTCTAAACTGCTGATTTCTGAGGCCAGACTACAAGGACTAGGGTTCAACAGCTTGAGCCTGCCAGCCTTGCAGGAGGAAGTTGAGAGTACGATGTGGACCAGGCTCTGCCTAGCATACCGCTTGGCTCAGAGTGGAGGTTCGGCTAGACCTTCAACAGATATTCCTGAATGAATCAATGTATTTTAAAATCAAATGTAAATTATTTTTATATTATCCATTATTTCATTGATTACTTCTTCCATGTCAGTTGAAAACAGACATTTTTTTCACAAAACAAAGAGATAATTTATAAATCTAGCTTGAAAGATAGATAGGACTTCAGAAGTGGGACCAAAATGGTGGAG